TCAGGAAAAGTGTATGAATTAGGAACTGATGTCTTTTGGTTAAGGAACTATGGGAATAATTTTTAAATGTCTTAGTAGTCAAAGTTTCCAGATTCATCTTAGAAGTATATGTCTAAAGTTTACTGACGAAATTATTGTTCCCTTACCTACAAACTGGTTAAATAATTCCTCAACTTTTGCTTCATCCTTATCATGCATTTTCTGCTATTAACAGATCCAAAGTGAGAGGATTTGGAGGTACTGAAAAATATTTGTTTTGAAAAACCATCATTAATGATCAAAAGTCTTCTCTTGTTAATCAAATTTCTTTTACAGGTCTTGTGGATATAAAAGCTAATGTGTCTGTTATTAGTAAAAAATAATTAGCCTCTTAATTGGCCTTTGCAAAAAATTAACATTAACTCTTTCTGAATTAGGAACTCCTCTCAATGTTTAGAGGTCTAAGAATATTTATGATTGTGCAGAATCTTATGACCAAAAGGCTCAAATGCAATTTTATGTGCTATACATCAGTGCTAACTTATGGGAAAGAAATTTATTAAAACAATTTGGAGCTTTTATATCTGTCCCTGCTTTGTCAGATGCTGAATTCTAAAGTCTTACACTCAGTAGAAAAGCTGATATAGAACCTGCAACTCCCTTTGGAATTCTCCTTTGTTATTAATAGGAAAAGTATTAAAACTCAGAAGAGTCTAAAATATGGGTAAGAATAAGAAGAAAAACATTAATACAGAAATATGAGGAACAGTTGGAAATAATGAGAAAGGTGTTATAAGAGGCCTCAATGTTTGTACTGTTTTGTCTTTTGTCTGCTGTGTTTGTTGTCTTTTTGTCTTATGTTCAAAGTTATAATACTGATAAGCTCACAGTTTAAAGGTTTCAGTAAAGAACAAGAATTAGTAGAGACAGATATAAAGTTAATATCTATATGAATTTCAAATCTCATAGGCGAGGAAATGCTAAGAGAGGTGTTTCAAACGTTTCACAGCGTCAAAACAGACTTTTTGTCTCAAGAAATCTTTGAAAAATCCGCTCTTGGCATCCTCTTATCTTCTTCATATATCCATACATTCTATCCGGTATCTACATGCTTAGGTAGAAATTTGCATATGTTTCGGCCAGTACTGTAAAATACACATGCCATTGGCCGGCTCTACAAGTCTATGTGAGTTGTGTGTGTTTGTGTTAGTTGCTCTAAAAATGAAAACCTGTAGGAGTAAGAAAATTCTCCACTATAGCCCCTTAATTAATGCTTGCCTGTGTTGAACCTAGTTGTATAAGTCAAAGCTGCATGATTTGATGATCACTTTCCTTCTGATACTCTTTTCAATTCTTCAGAAACATACCTTTTTGCCTTTTCCTATATGTATCATAAAGGTCCTAACGTTTTTACAGATGTTTCTAATTATGGAAAGAATAGAATATTGGAGTATTAACAAATTCAATGTTGAATCATCTCTTTATAAATCAGTACTAGAAAGCAAATTATGTGCTTTTTTTTTTAGTTTTAAAGAAGATCTGATGACAATATTGATATTACTATTATTATTATGTGTTGCAAAAGGAGTGTCCCAAAGAATGGAATAATTTTATAGCTATCAGCACAGAGCTTAAAACAAGAGGCCAGCAGTTCTTGACTGGAGACCCCTAGCCAGGCTTCTCTGTGTCTTTGTTGAGAATTATCAGGAAGTAAATCACAGAGAGAATTCAATGCAAATGAGGCCACACTCTTTCTATTGAAAACCTGCCTGGCTCAAGAGGGAGGGGTTCACAAATGCAAGAATTTGGTATGTCCTTGGGAATTGCCTTAATGCCTCAAAGTGAACTCCAGCTCAGGAAGCAACACTCCCTCTGTGGGGGTCCCTTGCTGTCTCCTGTCTGCAATGAACAAACAGCTTATTTTCTAGGATCTAACACAAGGAAAATCCTAACTTATATATCTGTGGTTCCTTCAATTCCTAAACAGAGGTTTTCATATAATGTTTAGTATAAACATTTTACCGTCCCATGATTATGCAGTATTTAAAATTACAGTTATCAAATTAGGGCATTTTGAGGTAATAAACACACCATATAATAATTTAGTATACCCAAATTACTGAGCAAAATATCATCTTAAGAATAAAATTAAAGTTTTAACATGGTATAAAGTTCAAAAGAATAAGTAATAAGTTCTGTGTATTTTTTGTTTAAGAGAAAAAAAAGAAAGTAGTTTTGCTTTAAAATAAAATGCCTGATTGTGTCAAAATATGAGAGTAAAAGCTAAATTAAAGATGTGTAGTAAGTTGTAAAAGGCTTAAAGAATGAATTTTAGTATATGTATTTGGGAACTAGAATGGAGAAAAATTGTGCTTAACCTCAGGAATTTCAAATTCGTGTTAGTAATCAAGGAACACTGAATGATTTCCAAAAATCACTAGAAAATGTTCATTAAATTAAGCCATGTTTAGAACTGCAAGACCTAGGTCTTTTAACTTAGAACTTATAATTGGACAGTCCTAGCTCCATTTGTTAATTTAAAAGATGCCCTTTCCGCGTACTCCCCCAAGGAATAATCAACAGCGCCACCTTATGTCAAAAGTTTTAAAAAGTGCAGCTCTATACATTTGTCAAACTCTCCAAAAAAGGTTTTATGGATTTTTCCACAGACTGTGTCTCAATTAGCGAGTCAAAGTAGGAGTCATTGCAATGTTTTGATATAAGACCTTATGAAATTATTATCCCTTATTATACTTTACAAGTTAAATTGGCTATATCAATATGGTACAAAATGGATAATTGCATTAGCCAATTATCCTGGTCAAATTACTCATCATTATCCAAAAGGTAAATTATTATATTTTGCAAGTAAAAATTC